TGACTCGGTCTCTTTCAGTCCAATCTGGTGGTATTTCTGCTTGTATTCAATTCTCCAAAACCCCAACGTTCTTCTAAGCAATTCATAAAGGTTTCAGCTACAAAACGGAAGGTTCTGCACAAGTTTTCCTGTGTAATTGCCTCTTTGTTCCTGGCCTCTGCTGAGATGGGTCATTGGATCTAGGGGTCACCCTCAGAATCCTTTGAGTAACAGTTTTCTAGCCATGTCCTTGATGTTCGTTCCAGACATGTTTCCTCATTTTGTCATATGGATAGTTTGAGGAGATCTCAAATTTTCACTTCTGGGTCCCACTTGTAAAACAGTTTCTTCTTTAATTTGTCTTTCTTGTGAAAAATTTAATATGCAAAGAAGAAGAAACCAGCCCAGGAAATATTGAGGCTAGATATCACCTCAGCTAAATGTTGAAGTTTCTCACAAGTTTTACTTCCTATAAAATACTAAAACATAATCAGCCAAATTCCTTGCCTCTTTATAACCAGTATTGCTTTTCCTCATGTCAGATGGCACACAGTATTTCTCATTTCCATCATAGAACTTTCCAGAAGCACCTGTAATACCTATATCTCTACCAATATTTTCCTAAGGGCAATCTTTGGTTTTTTTCCTAATGGGCATTTCAAAAACTCTTACAGCCTGTCCCGATGATCTGTTCCCCAAATCTTGCAGATCTTTAGTTATTTTAGGTTCCATGCTCCTCATTCCAAAACTATTCATACTCAAGGCTTTCTATAAGTAGTACACAAAGCAGGTGACTTAAACAACAGAAATTGACTTCAGAAGCTAGAAATCCAAGATCAAAGCTTTGTAAAGTTTGTTTTTCTTCTGAGGCCTCTCTTTGTCTAATGAATGGTTCTCTTCTTCCTGTATTTTCACATGGTCTTTGCTCTGTACCTGTGTATGTCCACATGTTCTCTTGTAGGGTATCAGCTGTATTAGATCGCCTTATTGTAATTACCTCATTTTGACTTACCTCTTTAAATATTTTGTCATATTTTGAGGTACTGGGCATTTGTGGAGCACACTTGCCATGTATAACACAGGCCACAGTTTAAAGCCTATCAATAACCACATTATTCTATGAGTTCTAACTTCTAGTTTTGGATATAATACTAGGTCCTTCTGGTTTTTGACATTATTCTCATTATAAACCTAAAGATGGTGGTGCCTAACCATATTTTGACCCCACTGGATAATTTTAACTAGAATTATTATTCACAGGGGATTTTTGTTGTTGTTTTGCAGTGCCAAAGGTCTAACCCTGGACTTAATTCATTCAAGGCAAGTGGTCTATGACTGTGCTACACTCTGCCCTACTCAAAGATTTTTTATTTTTCTTACTTATTTTACTATGTCTCTTTACCTTTATAACCATGATAACTGATATGGTTTCCTTTTAGACTATTTTTAATTGAAATTTTAATTAATATTTAAGATTCTGTTAGCTATTACTAACTTTTCAATTTAATAACACTTTACCTATCTGTGCCATCAAGTGATAGAAATTTAGTGAAATCATATTAAATTACATAAATGTTATGTTTTTCAAAATGCCTATATAAAATAAAAGTTCTCTATTGTCTTTAGGACTTGACAACTATTAGATTTCTTCTGTATTTCATTTTATCTTTCTAGGCCTGAACTGCAACAAGCCTGCTTATCTTACAGATCAAAAGAACTATATATAGCTGAACACTGTGAAATTACTCAAAACTACATTTGTAAGAATCATTTTATTTATCCTATGAAATCACAAGAGAGAAGAAAATAAAATTTTTCTCACCCTATGCCTTGGTCACTTTCCTGTTTTATGAATAAAACAATATAAATTTATACTTCTAGCTTAATCTTATAAAACCAATAGCCTTAAGTATACTAAAATTTTGTTGTGAAGATATTGTTTGATTTACATAAATTTTCATGAACTAAGATGTCCCAGTATTTAAGAAAATATAATTTTTTAGAGACATTACAATAAATGATTTCAGAATGAAACAATGGGATAAAGCCAGTGAGGGAAGGTTAGATCTTTGGGTATTAAAGAGCCTGTGCTGTGAAAGTTTACACTATTGTCACTGCTCCTCAAACATTTTTTGAGTGTATTCTACAGTGTTATCAAAACATATTGTTAAGCAACAACACACAGAGATATTACATGGAAGAAAAAGATTAGCATAACCCCCATAAAAATAGAATGACTTCCTAAGTTTGGAAGCTAGTGTTCAGCTTGATTACCATGCAAACATCCAACTTCTCCTGCAATCCAGTTAACATGAGACACCTAACCAGAGACCTGGGGGCAAGTGAGATTGAAGCAAGAAGGCTTTCATTTAAAATCTCAGTTGTCAAATGTTCATTTTAAAAAATTGTCTCTTTCATAGTATCTTTAAAAGGCCAGAAATAAAACATGTCTGTTTTAATTCAACAATTTCAAAAGTTTGAGAGTTACTAACACAATAATGATTTTAAGCAGAGATTTGATTTTCCTTGGTCCCCTCCACTCCTGTAAGCACTTTACCCGTGTACCTGTTGTCCTCTCTCTGAGTTGTTTTCGCAGCAGGGAACGCAGGCTGTGGAGGGGGAACGCAGGCCGTGGAGGGAACGGGGATTGGTAGTACCAGCCTCTGTGAGGCCCTCCTACCATGATTTCCTGAAAGCTCCTGGATTTAGCCCAGTTTACTGTTTGGTTCCCCTTACTACCTCCCTCTGGCAGAAAACCCAGACTGTCGGACTTGTTGAGGGAAACACTGCTGCTTGGACATCTGCCATGCTGCTGGTACAAGTAAGGAGCCTTTAAGCCTACAAGTGAATGGGGCAACCCAGCAGCCCTCACCCCGCAAGCTAGTTGGGGGCAGCAATGACTGCAGGTGCAGAGAAAGAAATAAAAGCCTCTAGTGTGGATGCAGTGCAGAAATGGACTACGTACCACTGACTGGCCCCACTTAGCTGGAAAGGTGGGGCAGGGCCAGCATTCATGAAGCACCTCAAATACCAGGGGCTCCAGGTGCAACTTGCTACAGCTCCCCAATACCTCATGGATTCCAATATTATGGGTCCTGGAAAGGAATTTTACCAATCCAACACCTCAATGTGAGGCTAGCTTTAGACTCATTTTTCTTTTCTTCTTTATTCCTTTTTATTCTTTTTCTCTTATTTACTTTTGTCTTATGTTTGCTTATTTTTTATTAATGACTCAAGTTTGTCTTTTTTATGGCTGAGTAGTATTTCATTGTTATAAATATCACAGGGTAACAATTGTGGATTAGCCACATGTGCCCTAAATGTAATCACATGCATCCTTATAAGAGATCAGTACAGAGCTATTTGACTCGAGAAGAGTGGGAGACAACCTAGCAGGGAAACTGGAATTGGAGTGATGCGATCAGAAGACAATGCTGGCAGCCACAAGATTAAGGAGTAAATTAAAGAGTAAATTCTTCCCTGAACCTACAGAAGGTATTAGCCTTTGATATCACCTCTATATGATTCATTTTAGACTTCTAGCCTTTGAAAGTATTAATGAATAAATTCCTTTTGTTTTGATCCACTACATTTGTGATTATTTGTTATAGCAGCAATAGCAAAGAAAGACCCAATGCAAAAAGACTTTCTGCTGTGATACAGAGTTTGAATAGAGGATATGGGACAGTGGTGGTAATAATCTTAACCAGACAGTAAACTAGTGCGTATTCACTGCTGATTTGATCGGAGCTCTAGGTGGAGACAGAGAGGGAGAGAGAGACAGAAATAGAGCGAGAGAGACAGAGACAGAGAGGGAGGGAGAGAACTTTCCTCATTATTCTGTCCTTCATTCTTCTTTCTCTACCTTTCTTAGAACACATAGCCAGGCTTGTCAAGGTTGGGGTAAAGTAACAATAATAATAATTCTTATAATTATGACAAGGAAATAGAAATCAAGCATAGCTTGTGTTAAGTTGAAGATGAATAGAGAGAAACTGTAACTTTAATAAATTTAACTAATTTCCTTTATTGTACTGAACTGGAGATTTAAGTTGCTGAAGTGATGTGGTTATGATAGAAAATGTCTTGAAGTTTTGATTTATCTGAGAATTGGCCATGTTATTGGAAACTGGAAGCATGGCAAATCTACATTTCAGGTTAGGAGGACACTGAAAAAGATTAAATTCAATATAGTTGGCATATTCTTATAGTGCCTTGCTGACTTTTCCTGACTCTAAATTTACAGAATCTTTAACCAAATTATTATAATTGTTCTGGCTATAGGAATAGGAATTTTGGAAATCCTATAGTTACTGTCACATCATAGGTCTTTTTCATTTTTGTTTATTAAAAATATCAATAACCTGTATTCTCTTCTAGTTTCAATCTTCCTAGATTACCTGGTATTCTTACTGAGTATCACATTCTATGAGTTTTTAATGTCATTTTAAAGTAATTTAAAAATAAAATATTTGACTTCTTTAAAATTATCTACAATCTTGGTAAATCTCAGTATTATATAATCATAAAATTTTTATAGGAGTGTACTCAATAAAATATGCTTAATATAAAATTTACATGAAAGAACATATTTAAGATAGTGAGTCATCTTAGATTTTGAACTCCACTGGGTCCTATGCAGGAATTTTGTTTTTGTTACCTGAAATTAGAACTTTCCTGGCCATGTGGAATGATGTGGTACAAATTTAGAAAAGATGCTTAAAGGGCTACACCCCATGGAAGTGACATTTCTGTGGTCCGAAATGAAAAGAAGGAGAAAACCTCAAGAACATTTCAGTGAGGATTTGCAGCAATAGTGCAAATGCGTAGGATGTGAGATGACTTGGCATGTTTAATGATAAGAAGGGACAGTGGGCAGAGAGGAGCAAACAGGGAAAAGAGTACGAAGTGAGGCCAGGAGAATAGTTAGGGAAGGAAGGGTGTGGCAAATATTTCATATTTTATTGAAGTAGGTTGGTTGTTTACGAGGGTTTGGACAGCAAAACAAAGCACATGGCATATCACTAAATAAAGGTCATGTAGTACATTACTGTATTTATGAAGTAAGTAGAGAATCCAAAAAGTCAGAGGGTAAGGCAGAGGGTGGATGGAAGTGAGCCAGGCAGACAGCTGGCAGCAGGGCTGAAAGAAGCAAGGAAGCAGGTGGGTTTGGCAGAGCTCTCGGTGACCTGGGCCTAAGGAAGACGGTGCATGGTGAGCGTTGGGTAGGAGTTACAGCTGCACAGCATGTGCCCCATGGCAGGAGATACAGATGGAAGCAGGGGGAGAGAAGGGAAGCCACTCAGCTTCTCCCCTTCCTGACTTCCAAAGCTCAACCCACGGCTCCCATCAATGAACCTTAACAGACACTGTTAGGTTGGGGAAATGGTAAAATGCATTTTGCAGGAATACAAGTAGAACAGAGAAAGACAGGGAGGGCAAAGATGAAAATGACTGATATCTTGGAAGATGCCAACTCCATCAAGGCATAGAATGGAAGTATTTTAGGAGCAGTGCTTCTCGTACCCCATCAGCAGAATTATCAACACACTATTTAGTGAAGAGATACATTCAACTTAGCTTGTCCAGTCTCCGCAGCAGCCTCATTACTGTAGCATATTATCAATATGGAACCACTTGTAGAAGGGTCAGTAAAGGGAAGGAAGGAATTTGGAGGATGTCTCATAAAGAAAGAACTGAGAATAATTTATTTAATATAATAGCATGAAGATATGCCTCTCATAGCTTATTCACAATAACAAAATCCACACATCTATAGATCAAGAAAGTTCGTGTGCTTGATTCCCAAACATGAACTAAGCTAATGATGGTTTTTACATTTCCATGTTGTGGAGGAAATATTAATGTGCATGGTTTTCAGGTGAGCCACATATTACACTGGTAGTTTAATTCATATCTATGTATTAAATACTGGTAAAATATAAAAACTTTTGAAACTGAACAGTTTTCTCCAGAAGGATTTTAAATAAGGAACTATGCACCTGCACATTAGACTTAATTTAACTTTAAGTTTTGCCCCTTTAAAGATATGGTGAGAAAACATTGTGTGTAAATGGAAAATCACCGATATATTTTTGCTTCATTTCTCCTTTTTTGCAGACTTTGTTGGATATCATCTGCGTCTCATGCTGGCTATATTTATGACCCTATGTTAGAATAACATTTCCTCATTGGACACACGATGTTTGATTTAATCATTCCACAGTGTAGGCTTATACAGTAACATCACATTGCACCCATAATATAGATAATCATCTGTCAATTAAAAATAAAATAGTCAATGAGATAACGTAATGTTTGAAAAATACAAACAACTTTATTTCTGTCTGTAAAATGAGGTCTTAGTTTTTTATTGTATTCATGCTGCAAGTGACATTTAATGACTTCCAAGTGATTGCTAAGAATAGTTGATTCTTTTTTATACATCTTGCAAAAATCAAGGCTTCTTTATTGACTTCTTTTTTTTCATTTTATAGATTTATTTATTTATTTATTTATTTTTTGCTTAAATTCTTTTCTTGGTACATTTCAGGTATACAATACATTTATAATCATCATTGGGTGCTTGTACATGTACATGATGTATCTTGGTTCTTATTTTTTCCCCATTCCCTGTGCGCCCTTCACCCCTCCACCCTTCCCTATTTACATACTTCGTTTCCATTTTTTTTCTTTTCTCATAATTTTTCCTCTTTATTGACTTCTAATTTAAATATTTTTGCTACACGTCAGGTTTCTTTTCACCTGATGTGAACTGTTTTAATTTGTGTTTTGAGAACTTTATGTTTTATCCACTATTCCATGGTGATAAGGTTCAACAGGAACTCAGGGGAAGAGATCTGTAATTCCTCTCTTTACAAGTTCTCTATATTTATAATCATATGTGGATAAATAGAATTCGTGACAGTTGTCCTTACAACATTATGAAAGCCCTTTCTACAACAATGTAAGGGTTGCTTCCAGTATCAAGAACCATAATTATTTTTGCCATGGTATTCTCTACTATTTTCTTCCCAGCAGTGTAAGGGCTGTTTCGTTTGCATCTTTGCCTATTGTTTCCATCCACAAAATATACCACTGTCTAACCACTCTGTGAGAAGAACACTCCAAGTAAGAAAGATATGAAAAATATGAATAGTATTTATAGTCTGATCAATGGTTTATGGTTCTCACATTATATTTCTGTGTTTGACTTTTTATTATTCTTTGAAATCTGTAAATATTGTCACAGTTCTGAATTTAGTGCTGTTTTCTGTGGTCAGGCTTGCAGAATAACACAGATAATGCAGTTAGTGATAGTGATCGGCCACATCCACACGGGCAAACTTAACTTTTGGTCTCTTTCCCTGATGATGCTGTCTTTTGGTCCTTGGTCAGATAAATGGCTTTGATTAAAGCTTCTGAAATAGCATCTTGTTCATCAGACATGGTGCTCCCTCTGCCCATTACCCTCCATTTCATCCCTGAGATCTTATGCTCACCTCAAGGGTCGTGTTCCTGCGCACTGTTATTCAAGTGGCAGCAACTGTGTGGTCGAGACATTCTGTAGAGTACAGTGTGGTGTGTTGCCTATGCCTTTCACACCCACAAAGTGTACTGAGCTGATGAAAATAGTAGGCCAGGGTCGTAGCAGAATCCAGAAATTTCCATTTAATCTGCAAGCTTACTGTAGATAATGATGACTATCCTCTGGGTCCCAGTATCTATAGACAGACAGACAGATATACACACACATGTGCACACGCACACATTTGAGCACTAGTAAAGTGTTTAATATGTTATATGTTTATACATTAAACCATGCTCACAATACATTTCTAGTAAACTTTTCAGTTTTACATTTTACAGATGATGGGAATGAATCTTAAAGGGGTTATTGAACCTACTCACATTTAAAGATCAAAGAAAAACAAAAGCAAATATTTGTAACTACTGTCTCATATACTGTCTCATACTGTCTTCATTTTTAACAGGATGAAGAAGAGGAGAAAACTCTTACCTGGTAAGGATTGAATATATAT